GCACACCAGGAGCAAAAGCACATGGAGCCTTCACATGGTGTGGGGCTTGATCCAGAGGCCGTGTTGGGTCCTCAAGCAAGCGGCAAGCGCTTCGCAAGGGAGTCCTGCGGGACCCCTGTTACAGAGAGCACAGCTGCTACATGGGGGAAGCATCTTTCGGTCTGGGTTTATTAAAGACTGAGAATACAACTGTGGGCCTAGCCACAAGAGCTGGGTGCCAGAAGCAGGGCTGGGTTTTGGCTGGAAGGGTGCGGTCTCCTCTCCAGGCGGCCTTCAGCAATACCGGCCAAATTTCCTATCCAGCAGGGCGTCCCAACGCCCCCATCCCGGCAGCATTCCACCTGGAGCGGAGCCCCTCTCCACACCAGCCCCAGCCTCGGTTACTTATTGCTTTTAACGTGCTAGTCTAGTACAGAGTGAATTAAAAACAAAAATGCATGTCTGTCGCGGTACATTTATGCTGTCTTCGGGCTGTGCTGGGAACCCTGGCCGTCAGACCTGGAGAGGGATGGAAGAGAGGGGCGGATGAAGTCAGGCTGGGCTGGGAGCGGAGACATCCCAGGGACAACGGTGCTCCGGGACAGACCCCGTCTTTGCCGACAGGCCACAAAGCAAAAGCCTTCGGTGTCCGCTGCTGGAGCTAAGCAGGTGCTGACAGTCGCTTGGGGCTGGTGGAGAGGAGGTGCTGGTACCCAGCAGGTTGCTCCCGAGCACCGTCCCCAGCAGGTTGCTCCCGAGCACCGGTGCGAGGGCTGGGAGTCACAGCCAGCCCACAGAGACGCCGTGGCGTGCCTGCCTTCCCCGCTTGCCTGGGGGGGACAGCCCCAGCCAGCCCGCCCAGCCGGAGGCAGGAGGGGAGCTCCGAGGGGAGGCACCAACCTGAGGTTTACTTGAACGTGTGGCTCTCGGCTCCTCCCCGGCCGAACCCTGGAAAAGAGCCAGAGCAGGGTCAGCCTCGCCGCGGGACGGCGAGCGCACTGAGGGATGCAGGTGCCCTGAGCCCCCTTCCCTTCCCTCCCATAACTCCAGCCACAGCGACCCTACCTTTGGGCCCGAACAAGGCAGCATAGCAGGGGTGGTTGCAGTACGGCTTGCCGTCGTGCTGCAGGGAGAGAGAAAGAGCATCAGCCCTGACCGCCCTACAGCTCCATCTCTGCCCATCCCACCCCTCCGGCAGCCCCTAGCTGCAGGGGACAGGGACCTCCCGGGCAGCAAACCTCACCTCCGCATGGCCTCCAGACGTCAGGGTCTTGTTACACTTCTCGCATCTCAAGCAGGGCCGGTGCCAGTCCTTCCCCAGAGAAGTCACCTTCTCGGCTGCCACGGAAAGGAGATGGGTTAGTTGAGGCACTGATCAGCTTTGGCAGGTTGGCCTCCCTGCCACCAACCCTCGGGAGGACATTTTTGGGCATTTTCTCAAGTCTATTTGTCCAGGAGAGAGGGCACCGTGTTTTGAACCCAAGTGCTCGCTGTGCACACGCATCGCCGTGCACATCCAGGCGCCCAGATCCGAAACCGCAGTGCCATGCCCAGGGTGAATCCATGTGGACGGACCAATTTCCATCCATCTTCTAAAGATTTGGGGGCCTCCCACCTTCTAACATCAGCCTGCAAGGGGATGAATTTCTGCCCAGCCAGCTGGAGCCCAAGCGATCACTAGAGTGGGCAGGAGCAAAGGGGGGAAGGCAAAGCCATCGCCATGCCCTGCCCTGACCCACACCGGTCCCCTCCAGCCGCTGGCACTCCGGGCACAGCTCCGATTTGGCACACACCATGGCAAACCAGAGTGGGGCTGGAGCTTGGCCGGGGCTCAGGCAGCTGCAGGGGGGACAACGTGCTGTTTGCTGGGGCCGGGACATGTTTGTGGAGAGAGCGGGGAAAACAGGGTGGCTTTTAATTGTGGCACAGCGGGGGCGGAGGGTATTTTCTGCAGATGCATGTGCTCGTCCTATTGGCAGCTGCGCTCCTGGGGATTTATTAAGCGATAAAACAGAGCTTTACACAGGAACCCTGTCAGAGCCAGGTCCGAGCACTCTCCCCATGCCTGCAAAAGGAGGTCGAGCTATGGGACCGAGCCGCTGCTGGCAGCGCCTGCCCCGGGGGGGCCATCAGCAGCCTGAAGCATCTCTTCTTTGGAGCCCAAATATGCCCACAACAGCTTACGCAAGAAGCAAGCCGGCGGCTGCAGAGGTGGGAGCGGGGGCAGTGCCCAAATGTCACGAGGCGGCCCTGCTGCCATCCCCCAGCGGCACAAAGAGCCTCCTGTGCCCGCAGCCCGGCGGGGGCCACAGTGTCCTCCCCCTGGCAGCCCCAGGAGCCCGAGCTTGGCCTGCAGTGGGGCCCTCCTGTCACAGGGTTTCTGGACGGAGCTCAGCCTCCCCACCTCTTGCACAAGCATTTGCACCAACACTCGGGCAACAGCTCTGCCAAGGCTGCGGGGCCCCCCCGGCTCTCGGCCACGCAGGCAAGATTCCTCTGGAAAGCTGGTGGTGGCCCTGCAAATGCCATCCCCAGTCCTCTTGGCATCATCTCCCCCTCCCTCCTCTTCTCTACAGAGATGATTTGTCCAAAAGCAGCCCAAGGCATGCCCGAGCATGACTGCCAGGCTCCAGGAGCCCTGGGGTGCCCTGGAGCAGGGCTTGCTCTGCCTCCTCTGCCAGCACTCCTTATATCCAGGCACAGAAATCAGGCAGCGAGCTCGGTCCTCCAGCCGCTCTTGAACCCTCTTCAGCCTCTGCATCAATAGAGATGGTTTCGTAAGAGCAGCCCGATAAGCACCAGGCCAAACCCCTCCTTGGCCAAACTGCCCCGTCACGGCACCTCCGCGGCCGCGCCCGTGGGCACGGCAAACCCAGCTCGTCTGGACTGGGATCGAAACAGATCCACAGGGACACGGGAAAGGCAGACACTGACACCAGCACCTCGGTAGTTCCTGTCATCAAGTCACGTGCGTAAATGAGGTGCCCCAGGACCCTTGGTCGCGGGAGGAAGCCTTGAACTGCACCCTGCTAAAATCCAACCTCAAAGCCTGGCTGCAAGTGGTGAGTTCAAGTTTAGGCAGAGATGTTCCCCAACCGCAGGAGCCACATCCCCAGCAGCACTCCAGGCAGCGCCCACGCCAGCCCCAGCACAACAACCAGGGTGGGCATCGCTAACAGACACGGCTGTTTGGCAGGGAGAGCAGTCCCTGTGTTTGAGCCTCCAAATTCCTCGGCAGAACAGAAGTGGAAGATGGGGCACACGCACAAGCAGAGCAGAAACAAGGCAGAGAGAGCAGAAGTCAAGGACGGCATTCGGGGCGCAGATCCCTCATCTCTAGTAAATTGAAAAGCAGGGAATGTGTACAAGCTCAGCTAAACCAGAGAAGAGGGGAAGTCTGGCAGATGGAGCCTGCCTGTTCCAGCAGCTGCTGCCGGCAGGGCAAGAGGCTCAAACACCCCAAATACCCTCAGGCAGGACAGCAGGACCACGGCACCAGAAGGGGCAGGAGCCTGGAGCTTCGGGGCCCCGGTTCAGAGGGAGGACATCTGCCTGAAGCCCAGCAGCAGACAGAAGCCCAACAAGGCTCACAGCTCACAACAGCAGCTTAAAAATAACGCCCCAGGGCTGTCATCTCGCTGTGCTAAACCACACAGGACAACACGTGGGCAACCCACTGACCCAGGAACGTGCCCGAGGGCAGGATTTGCCCTTGGGAAGGTGTTGGCTCGACTGTCCAGGCTTTCAGAGCAGCAGGCTGCACCGGCTGGGCCTTGGGGCTCCAAATTGAGCAGTCTTCAGGGCTGGCCCAGCTGCCTGCCTC